TTTTCAGTGTAACAATAAACATACACCGAACCGAAAACCAAAAACGTGACCACGAAACCGTGAACTGAACCATAGATTTTGTAAACCGTTCAACCCCTAATATATAAATATATAAAATCTGTTTGAAAAAATTCTAAGATGAATAATGATTAAACAAAATCTAAGAAAACAAAGGTTCGTCTCAAAATCTTTTTTTTCTTACTAAAATGATTTTCACAGTTTAACTTCTGGATTTCATTTTTCTTTGCCCCAAATAATGGAGCTAAATACACTCCATATTCTAGTCACAGAATGAACGGGATTAGGAATCCTCCTTAAATGCTGTCAGATATTAATGCTTTCTATGAATCAGGGCAGGTTTGTTGTTTTTTTTTTTTTACTTTTGCTGGTGGATCTGTGGGGTATTATTGTTCAGCTGCCCTCTCTGTAACGTATTCATTTTATCGCAGCCAAAAAAGCGTCAAAGTTTCGGGACTGGTTGGACTGCAGCAGCCTGGAGCTGAAACCTAACAGCATGGCCACAGAGATCCTGTCATACCTGGCCTATGAGACCGTTGCACAGGTAACGTCCTCAAAGAGCTGGTTAAAAAACAACAGCGTAACGTGTTGTAACAGCTTCCTCCTCCTCTGTAGATCGTAGATTTATCTCTGTTAGTGAAGCAAGAGATGAGTGTGAAGATGAACGCCGTCAGCCATGTCATCTCTGCCAGCTACATCCACTACAGCACACACACCGAGGTACCGCAGGAGGGCAGCGCATTCAGTCGCTCCGCCCCTGAAACCTCACATCTAAGCTCTGTCAATGTTCGGCTGCAGGTAAAGAAGGATCCAGATTCGCCTGAGGCCACGCCCCCATCCACTCCAGGCTCCTCCCACTCCTCCAAGCCCCTCCTCCAGGGGAACGGCAGCGTGGACAGCCGAGCAAGACAGAGGAAACGGAAGAAGGTGTCTCACTTCTCTCCTCGGTGGCTGTATGTGCCTTTCCTGCACAAATAACGCTCTGCTGTGTTTTCAGAGCTCTCCGGTCACAGTGGAGCCCCCTAGTGGAGCCATCCAACCATGTCACATCAGAGAGGCCATCAGAAGATACAACTACAGACACACAGTGGGTACACAGACACGAAACCACACACTGAGGCTAGCTTAACACCTAGAAATGTGTTGATGGTTTCATTGGATTTAGATGTAAAGCTCCTGTCACACCTTGACGAATTAGACCAGCGTGAAGTACGAAAAATCTGGTAAAAACGCGTCCATATGTTGGATAAGTTATGGGTACGCTTATATAAGTTATGAGCTGAAACACGCTGGAACGACATACGGCGAGAATGTCGAGAAATTACCCGTTGTATGCCATAGTGGAGCATAAGTTCCAGGTAAGTTATCAGATGGTTGAGATACATTAAG